TTTTTTTTTTTAGAGTATTCTGAGCTATACAGACTTGAGAATCAAGTGGGATTATTATGTCAGAAACCTCCTTATCAGGATCTCGGAATTGTCAAGAAAAAGGATACAAGCTATACATTGTATAAGAGAAAGTAAGTACTTTCAAGTTGTCACTATTTTTTTTTTCTTCTTTAAATTCAATGAAAGTTGATACTGCTTTCAAATGTCAACACTATTCCAATACTCAGTGTATGAAACTGAAATTATATTATACGTGATCTAAGCATAGCAGAGATAAACTGTGCTTACAACTTCGATGTGGCTATGATCGGACTGCTGTTGAAGAAAAGGTAGCACTCATAAGTGATAACCTGCCAAGATCAGATACAACAAAATGCCACCAGATATCTTTAAATATGTCCATATTGATTTAAGAGGGTACATGCATGTCTATTGTGCATATAATGTTTGTGCAATATAATTTATACTGAAATGGCACAGAGAAGAATAATACTTTGCGCTCATTTTATAAGGAATACATATATATAAAGACTGCAGAAAATGTTTATGTTGAATTTGAGGTTTTCAGTGGCAACACCTCACTGATCTGATGTTTGGAAGAGGTGTGTTTGCACTTGTCTTCATGTCCCTGACCCTCTAATGAATGTCCTGGTCCAAGGCACTTCCATGACCTACATCCTAATCCCCAAGATCTGGTCCCAAGGAAGTCTGTTAAAACGAGGTGACAACTGTTCATGTACCATGCACAGGGGTCCTCCAGAGGGCCTAGTGTACATACTGTTTGTCCTTTGAACAGTCACTCATCACTACTATCTTCTTACACCTATCAGACTGATAAACTATAATGGGCAAGAGGAAAGTGTTGTTGGCTTTAAACTGGTGGTGTATTTTCTGTGTTGAGGGAGCCTCCCAACAGAGAGAAAATATTATTTCTATGTGTCTTGAGGCTCTAAATTTCTATTCGGGTTCACAACACAAGATTAGAAAATGCAGGATTTGTGCACATACAGCTTACACCTATTCTTTTTCCTCCTGTATGTTTAAAATGTGTGAAGTACAGCTGATCTTAGGCCTTCAACTAGCCTTTCTGCCTTGGGGGCCTACAAAGTCCAAAAAGACTGTCACAAATAAGTGCAGTATGAATGAAAAGGATGTATGCTTAATATGGGAATGGCTAAATTGTATTTAAACTTGCAGAGCTGCTAGGTGCAGCCATTGTACCCATATGATAGAGACACTAATAACTGACACCAATGAGATTTAAACCTGCATTAACAAAAAGTCAGTACATTTTAATCATATTAGTATCCTAGGCAAAACAGTTCATGTTTAATACTCATTTGTAAATATTGCATTCTTACAAATAAGGTCACGTTTGTATTTTGTTATTGCAAGGTTTTACAGGGTTATGTAGTGTAACGAGCCCCTGCTCGCTCGGTTCCACTCTCCCGGCACTCCTCTGCTGCTATTGGATCAGATGTCAGACCGCAACGTCTGATTCTTCGATCGTCTGATAATCTGGGATTCGAACTACAGCTATGTGCCGTTCGAATCCAGTTGTGATAGCTCAGAACAAACACCAGGCAGGCTGTATGTAAGTTCCAACAGGGATCTGCTTTATTGAAGACCAGTTCAGTATATATACAGTTCAAGAAGTCTAAACACATAACGCAATCCAACATGAACAGCATGCAAACAGACATCCCCTCCCCGATGCCTTAATGAATGAATAGGGAGGGAGGAGACACATGTGATGGGATTATCTCCTGAGTGTATCATAGGATGATCTACTCCCCTACACCCAGAGTCCCCTACACCCGGAGTCCCCTACACCCGGAGTCAGCTACTCCTAGAATCAGCTATCCTAATCCCATCATCAACACAATACAACAAAGGGACCAATAAACTGTAACAGTTCAATGTCCAGAATTATCCCCCTTCAGTGTTGCTGGAGTCACAGCCTGTACCTATAATACACACAGGGTCATCCAAATGTAATGCCAGGGAAAATGTACAGTACATCCCTCCACACATAAACCTGGTAGAATGGTTAATTGTAACCCCAAGAGGTCCGAGGGGGTCTCCATAGTTCTGGGTCCATAGTCAGTAGGAAGGAGGCTAGCCCCCAGGCTCCTCCAACAGCACCAGTGACGGTTCAGTCCATCACATGTAGTATTTTACTACTGCATTTATGACCTGTTCTGTCCTTTTGTGATCCTCTGCCAATGAGACTCCAGGTTCCAAATAACAAAATATAAGAAAAGACTGATTTGTGTGAAAGTCTGCTCATGGACAAATGTAAAACGCTCTTCATTTCAGAAATAAATCCTCTAGAGGTGCACAGCTGGTGGGCTGGTCTGTTAATAATCACGAAGAGTTATATGCAGGCTGGACATTTTCATTCCTGTAGTTTCAGTGGGTTAGATATAGTAAGAACTAGCCTAAAATAGTAAAGCATTACGACACATCCATGGCTTCTGTGCCCACTTTTATTCAGAGAAAGTAATCAAACAGTAAACACAGTTGGCTTCATGGGGGGTTGTTAAATATTGCTTCTCACAAAATAAACATTTAGCCTCCGGCCTTTGCTCTTGCAGCACCACTGCTCTGGCCTAAGTCCCGAGGTCCCTGTCTGTGTCCTCCAGACACTCTCAAACACTATGCTGACCTGCATGCTCAGTATACAACTTCATACCTCCCTGCTGCATAGGCCCCACTCTAATTCTTGGGTGAAGCCCTCCTGTCTCCACGACTTCCCTGTCTCACAGGTAGCGCCCCGAACATTCACCAGACACCTTACCATAAGGGTTGTGCACAGCTATGCAATCACTAGGTGCTGGTCAACTTAAAAAAATGGACCTAGGGTTTTTGGAGGATTTATCCCACCCAAGTTGCTACAAAGCCTCCAAGTTCCAGGACCATGACCAGGATTTATCCATGCTGGATAAAACTAAAAAGCCAGTTTTCTCCCTCTTCAATATGCCTCCCGTAGCCTCCCAACTTGTATGGGTGAGAACCCTGGGAGCCCTCCAGCCCTTATTATATAATAACCAGACACGGCACTGTCACAATATATTGTGACTTCAATTATGTTCACCAGCAATGCAAACCTGAGAAAATTATACTGGCCAATACTTACTATTGAGGAAATGAGGAATCTTACAATTCTATATTGCTGTTGTCAAATTGTATGTCATAGTAACCTGGGCCATATCCATTTTACTAAGGTAGATTCAGAGCCATGTTGTCACAGCAAGAATTTATGTGAGTAGAGGTGTCATGTTGAGCAGTATGAATTACACCAGTGTTTCTATGATGCCATTCTGTAGAATCTGTTACAAAAGCCAGGCTATCCCCATATTACAAAAAAACCCCCAAAAAAACAGAATATGCCAAATTTCTAGAGATGTGTTATTTCAGAAGATGGATTGATGCCATGTTGCCAGACAGAATTATCCTGTGTTACAAAAAATTGCATTTTATGAGAGGTTTCTTGTTACAAAAGACAAACTAATGGTATGTTACTGGAGACCTGTTACCAGAGGTACCATATTTCAAAAGACAGAATAATGCTACATCACAATAGACAAAATATCACCATGTTACCAGCTGTGCCAGTGTAATGGTGTGTTAACAGAGGAGTCTTGTTTCAGAAGTCAGAAAAATGTAATGTTGACAGGGGTGTGGGGTAACAATGGAATTTTGCAAAATGTACTTCACCTGGAATATACATTGACAGGGACTTCATAAGGGACACATGTTACCTGGCATATTGCCAGAAGAGATTTTGCCAAGAAAATCACCAGGACTGATTTTTACCTGAGATGGTGATTTCCAGAAATGGCAACATCAGTAAGAGATGGTAATTATGCAAAGTCTGTTCAAAAATGGTAGTTGATTTTAAATTACTTCCTTAGCGGTGTAGGCTTGTTACATGGGAGCTGTCTTAGGGCAGAGGTGTGTCTTTACTACCGGCCTCTAATTGGTTGATAGTGGTAGCAAGGTATGTCCTGTACGAATGTGCAACTATGCTTTTCCCTAGTAAGCTCCTTAAGTCATTCTCTGATGTTTAAATAGTGTAGTTGGAAGCAGCAACAAATTTAGGTGAGAGGGCCCTATGAAGAAGCAACAATCACAAATCCATGAGCTTTGGCACCCTGCAGGAGGCCAAACCATGCATTCATAGGCCTTGTGAAACTATGGGTGTTGTAGATGAAGAATTATACAACACTGAATGTCATGACCTCTCCTGAAATAAGTGGGAAATGACACAGGAAGGATGCAAAGTTCAAAAAGATTTATTTTGTTAGGCATTATTTTTGTCAGTATATGTGATAATCACTACTAAATTAAGTTAGTTTTTGCTATAGACCTAGAATGAGCATTTGACAGCCATTCCTACTCTTATTTGTTTTCTGTATTAGAGAAAATTGGAATCAGTGGAGCTTTTATTGATGCTTTGCATATTTTATACTTTTTCTCCCTGAGGCATATTTGAAGCTACCTAGCTCAGAAGCACAGCTCATAAATATCATGCTGGGAACTTGACAGGGTTGCCCAATGTCTCCAGCTTAATTTGCTCTAGCAATAGCATCTTTAGCTATAAATATATGTCAGAATTCAAACATCCGTGGTCTCCAAGTTGTTAACAATGTCTAGGAAAAGGACTTGCTTGTATTAACGTATTTCCAGGCTTTCTCCACTGTTGTGCAATGTCTTTCTAGCTTTGGAGATGAATAATCCATGCACATTAACCTTGGAAATTCAGCTGCCGTGTTTCAAACACGCCCATATGCAATCAAAACTTAATTCGCTGTTACGTTTGAATTCCAAGGTGGAGAACATTATACCGTATACCATGTTTAGGAATCAGGTTATTTAAAATCACTCTACATTGGGAACTGCAGTACTTTTATAAAGCAACAAATAGTCAACTTAATGAACCACAATACACCTTTTACCTTATTTTGGATTACCTTGTTAAATTAAAATAGTCCCGCTTCCAGGATTCAGTATTTCCCCTTACTCTTAATTTCTTTTCAACAGCATGATCTCAGGAAGCTGTTAGATGCCATCTTCATATTCTTAGGGATGAATAACAAATCCAGATTTTCATTAGAAAACCCCCATT